TTTAGTTTGCTAAAAAACGTAGCTCCTGCCATTTCACTCATTATTTCCTCTCTCTTAGGGATCTGATAATGCTCTCTTTTATATTTTCATTTAGATCTTTGGGATCAAGGCAGACTCTTAAGGCACCTGTATTCTTTTTCTTGACACAAGTGATAGAGTTCACCCAGTCTGTGGGCTCTTCCACTCGTTCAATGACACCCATTTGAGTCATTCTTTCAAGCTCTTTTTTCAAACTTGTCCGTAATGGAGCAGGCACTCTCCTTGGGGCATGCACCACAGGCACGGCATCATCCTTGAGCTGGATTTTGTAGGTGTAAGGCGAATGTTCCATGTCCTTTGAAGACTGAAGGAAATTTACTGATAATGTCTGAACTTCCTTCATGCCCTTGGTGTTCCAGTCTTTTGCCTTGTTTGGCTTCTTTCATGGTGTCAGTATTAATCTGATAGATCCTCTTTACTAGTCCCAAGTCCTCAGATGTTTTATCTCCTAAAAGTGACTCGTGTCCATCAGGTACGATGGTGAACAAAATGTTATGCTGTTTGCCTTTTGCTGTCACTTTAAGTCTGCATCCTCCTTTTGTTTGTATTGGCTGGTTATTGTAGGCCCTCAGCGGCATGACTTTCTCTGTAAATCTTCTAGGCTTCTCAGTCAGTGCCTTGAATCCTTCTCGTTGATCAAGTTAGCTTTGGCCCCTGTGTCAATTTTAAATGTTACCAATGTCCCATTGACTAACAGTGGAGCAGTCCATTTATCATCTGTGACTGAACTAACACTTTGGCCAGTGTTATGTCTTGAAGACTGTGCATTGACGTCTTCTTCATGTGACACCATCTTAATGAAAAATGTTTCACTTAGATCATCACTGTCATCTGTGTCTTCCTGCACAGTGTGTACTTTTTGTCCCTTCTTTTTGGAGAGACACATTTTTGCATAATGGTTTTGTCCTTTACATTTTGCACATTTTTTCCATATGCGGGACATTGTTTTGGTCTGTGTTTCTCTCCACATCTCTTGCAAGTGAACATTTCATTGTCACACGTTCTGTTTTTGCTGTCGTTGTTTTTGAATTTACTCCATGGCTTTCTTTTAATCGACACTGCATTCACTGCCTCATTTTCTTGTTGCGCTGCTCCTTGAACAGGCTCTCTAAACGTCAGTACATGTTGTCGTGCTAGCTCACTGGCTTGACTTATCTTTATAGCACTTTCCAGCGTTAGTTCTGTTTCTCTCAACAGTTTCTCTCGGAGCTTCTTCTCATTAGTTCCAAACACTATTTGATCTCGTATCATAGAGTCTCTGAGGTCACCAAAATTGCAGGACTGAGCTTTGATCTTGAGGTCTGTGAGAAAAGTATCAAATGACTCACCCTGATGCTGTAAGCGTGAGCGAAAGACGTATCTCTCGTATGTTTCATTTTTCTTTGACAGACAGTGGTTGTCAAATTTCTTCATGACTTCATCAAAGTTATCTTTGTCCTCGGGCTGAGCAAACACAAAAGTGTCGAAGACCTCTATTGCTTCTGTGCCGGCGATGGTGAGCAGCATGGCTATTTTCCTGTCATCTGCCCGTCGATCCACTCCGACAGCTGCAATATACAGTTTGAACTGCTGTTTGAAAGTCCTCCAACTTGCATCCACGTTTCCAGTCAGTTTCAACGGACTTGGCGGTTTTATTGCATCCATCTTTTTGCGTTGCTTCTTATTCTTAACCCGTCTCCTGGTACCATGTAATGTTCTTATTCCTCTATGAATAAAACATCAAGAATTGCTCCTGGTGCTAGCTTCAGCTAGCTGTTTATTATTCTTTCTACCACGATCACTTCTTCTTCTATTCTGTATATCTTATTGATTCCAGAGCGCCCACTGTGGGTAGCTTCAACAATAGCAACTATCATTACACAGATGACTTCCTGTTTGGCTTGGTGTTCGACACACTGAATCAGCTCATTTAAAACGCTGATGGGCACTGGTTACTGTGGTGACCTAACAGGTAAACAGCCCTGCTCTGCAGGAACACGTATGACGGTGCCAACACGTTAACTTCCTGCGTCTGTTTATCTATTTTGTCTCACATCAATTATATCGTCAGTCATATTCAGTGTTGGGACTAACGCGTTATTAAGTAACGCGTTACAGTAACTACGTTATTATTGTGGTAACGAGCACGGTAACTAGTTATTATGCCAAAATCAGGAACGCGTTACTCGTTACTGGGATTTAGATAGGGTCGTTACTCGTTACTTCGTGTGGTGGCTATCGCGGAGCTTCCACAGATTCAGTAACATTAGCAAGTGGTGGAGGCCAGCAGGTGGATGAAGGAAAGGGGACGCAGAAGGAAAAGAGACCCGAGGCGGCCGCCGGTCCAAGTGTGAACTGAACTTCAGGTAAGAAGTTATGACCTGCAGTCTCTCTGGGTCAGATATGAACCAAGTTTAGGTGGAGTTTATTTTCGTTATGTCTGACTTTTTCCGTACTGCGTGCTAGCTAGCATGACGGAGTTTCTATACAGCTGGGTGGTGCTATGAAGTTAATGATGTTGAACTTTATTTTGTTCATAAGTTATTAGAGTTGCCAACCGTCCCGTCTGGTATTCAGAGAAAATATTACGCGTTTCTTATTGAGGTGAAAAGGAACAGTTTGTCCCGTAATTCAGCTACAATGAAAAAGACACAAAGCTGGAGTTATTCTGTGTCTTTGCTGCACAGCTGCCTCTTCTTCTTTCATTCTCCCCCTCCCTCTCCCGTTTCTACTTCAATCATGAAACTGATCAATGATCAGCTGATCGGCTCTCTTGTTTGTTTATCGCTCACTTTGCGCCGAAAGAGGAAACCAGCGGATGTCGCGCTAAACAACAGCAGCACGTTTAAGCTTGATCAGCTTTGTTAGAATTTATTTAATATTAATTTCTAGTATCAGCTGATGTTTGCTGGAGCCACAGCTGTAAAGCTGCTGGTCATGATATCGGTTTGGTTATCTGGTGAGAGGGAAACATGAAGATGAAACCAGGAGATGTCCTTACTGAATCATCAGAGCTGAACAGGTGATGGAGAAACAGGTTTACCTTTTAGGTGACATGAATGAGTTGGAAGTTATGAACTGTTTCTGAGAGACAAATAACACCAGGATCCTTTTTTAAGTAGCTGACAGCTGGTAACTGTGCAGGGGCGGGTCTAGCAAAGTGTTGCCAGGGGGCCAGGTAGGGCATTAACAGGGAGAGGGGGGCACAAAGAAATACTTTTCTTTCTTATTCTCATTTAAAATGTCTAGCTTTTAAAAAATAATTATCTGAATCTTACAACAAACGATTGATAGATTGATGCATATATACCATCAAGAACAGTGAACATCACTGTCACAACAGTGTTTAGTTTTCATTCAAAGGCTTTATGATTTTTCCTATAATGGTGGGCCGGTCTCTAGTCAAAATGCCCGGGAATTTTCTGTCCCAGTCCAGCCCTGTATGCAGCTCATCTGCAGTCTGGTGTTACCTACATCTTCCTATTCAGAAGGCAGAATTTCCGAGTTCTGAGTACAATCGAAAGCACCACGACTGCAGTTTTTGTGTTGGATGTAAAAGGCGCACATGACGCTGTGACGTAGGCTAGAATCATGGCAGCAGTCAATGACGGTCCAGGCGTGGGATTTCTCTCGTGGAAATATGCACATTATCTTTTCCTTTCTATTGGTAGGTGGCACAGTGCACTGTGGCAAGTAAGCAAGCTAGAAGACTGGCAAAGTTATGGAAGCAACACATTAACAAGAGAATTCTGAGTAAAACCAAAGTTACTTTCCCTAGTAACTAGTTACTTTGAAAGTAACGAGTAACTTGAAGTAACTGAGTTACTTTTGAGAGAAGTAACTAGTAATGTAACTAAGTTACTATTTTAAAGTAACTTACCCAACACTGGTCATATTGTTATCACAAATTTTCAAATATATCTAGTGATAAATATTTTTTTCCATATTGCCCTGCCCTATTCCTGAGAGCCGAGCACGTGGACAAGCTTGTATTTCTGCACACTAATGTGGAAACTGAAAGGTAAGCACTGAGAAAACACTCCAACATGTAACATTTAATAAGTAAATTCCCTTTTTCAGGTTGCACAAAGTGTTCCACTGCAGGGCTGCATGTGTAGTTTTTAGCACTTTATGTTGTTGCTGTGTTTACGTGGATGAATCCTTCAAGCTGTTTCATTTGGATTTATTTCTAAGTTGCAGAGAGCATTTTTTTTATTATTATTTTAAAATCAAAGTACTCAATAAGTAAGAGCTCAATGTTAAATTGTTTACATATTTTTCATGTTAAACAGAAGAGTTGATTTTTCATGAATGTAGTTTTTGATTGACTTCTGATAAGGCAGATGTGAACTTGTCCACGTACCCCTCAGTTTCATTTTAAGCATAGTTTGGACTGTTTACTGTGAGTTTTCCTACAATTAAATTCAGTCTTAACGTAATATTGCCTGGCTTTTAGTATTGCCTCCCCTGTACTGTCATACATACTGCATATTCTTGCCATTACACACCCAGTGTTGCTGCTGTCGCTATCGTGCGTGCTCGTTGTTCTTTAAATAACCCGAGCCCAGTTCCTTGTATGTGCATACATACTTTTGTCATTTTAAATTATGCAGAGCACAGAGTCGATGCAGATCACCTTTTCCTTTTCTTTTCAGAGCTTAAAGAACAAACGACGATTTGAAGAAAAATTTAAACTTTTTATATTTTAAAAACTTAAAACTTCTTTTCACAAACAGTTTAAAAACAGTTTTTAAAAAGGTTAAAACATCTGACTAAAAACTTCAGTTCGTCTCATCAGTTATTGATCCTTGCTGGTGATGTCATGTGGTCACCACTTGTAGTATTTCCAGTCATGTGATCTGCCTGGCAGCAGCGGCATCCACGCTGGTTACGGGCTGCAGATTTTTCCACGGATCCTGCATCATAGACGGGCTGAAGTATTTCTGCACGGGCGCGTCTGAAGACTGAAACACACAGCAATGACACGTTTAAAACACGTCACAGACACACGTCTCTCACATGTCCCAGTTTGTTTGAAGAACTTCGGTCACGTGACAAATCTCGCTAACGGAGTCAGATTTGCAGGAAGTTTTGGTGTAACAGCTATTTATTAAACACTCACTACATCTGCTTCTCTCTGCTCTGAGATTACAGTGAGAGTGACGCCCCCCCTCCCCGAAACCTCCGCCTGTCCTCGGGTGGACGACCTCTTGCTGATCATGACCCCCACCCAAGACAAAGAAGAGTCACCTGAAATCGATCTTATTAATGATCAGGCGGACTTATGAATGACTCACGGATCATCTGTACCGATCAGGCTGTCCTTACCTTGAAGTTCGGAGCTGAAGTTGGACTGAGGGACTGTGGCCGCCGGAAACCGTCCCCTCTGCGCCGCATCGGACCCCCGAAACCGCGCGAGCCGCTGCCGAACGCGGCCGGAGAATCTCCGAACCCCCCGGAACCGTTTCCGAACCCGGCTGGAGATCCGTCTCTGTATCCTCGATTAGAACCCGGAGAGTAGCCTGGAGATCCCGGAGAGTAGGGGGAGTAGCCCCGCGAGGAGCCTCCGTATGGGGAGCGGGGGAAGCCCCAGCCGGACGCCGGTCGTGGAGCTCCGGGACTCCGCTGATGTCTGTCTGGAGCGCGGAACATGTGAACGGGTAAAGAGCGACAATGAGCGGAAGAGGAGAATTAAACTGCTGCCACAGAACGACGAACGACGAACAACACAACAAAACACTAGGAGGCCGGAACCGGAAACACAGCTTTCAGCTCCGCCCACAGACTGCAGCGCCGCTCAGCGGACCGCAGGGTGAACAGTTCTGTTCATATCCGTGTAAAGCAGGGCTCAGCAACCTTTAACACCCAAAGAGCCACTTGGACCCGGTTTCCACGCAAAAGAAAACTGGGAGCCGCAACTACTTTTTGAAATCTAAAGTGAAGATAACACTGTATATGTTGTTATTTTTACCTTTATGCTTTGTGTGAACAACTTAAGTAAGTAAGTAAAATTTATTAAGCGCTTTTCACAGACAGGCAGTCACAAAGCGCTACACACAAATATTAAAATAAACAATACAATCAATAGACATTATACACAATGTAAAAGATCAAATGTAAATAATGTAAAGAATATAAAATACGTACAACAAAAGGCTTGTTTGAAAAGAAAAGTTTTTAACTGCTTTTTAAAAGAATCCACGGAGCAACTAAGGTGTGTTGCTTAAATCCATGAAGTGCTACAGAGAAAATTACCTTTTATTTATGTAATTAACACATTTTGAACTCCTAAAGAAATATAACCAAAGGAAAGACGCTGAACTAAAATGATCCAGCAGACAAAAGCTGCTGTGAGACACCCTCATATCGCCTTTGTGCTTTTGGAGCCTTGACCTGACTTTTAAAAAGTAACTGGAAAAAAGTACTATGCTGCTAAAAATGAAAAATAGATATTTGCAAAATTCTGCCTAAATATGTATTTTACCTGGTTAATGTGTGTGGCGGGGCGTGGTCTGCAGTGCCGCTGCATGGGAGTCGGACGCACCTGAGCGGCACCCGCAATCACGCCTCGCCGCCTTAAAGTCTGTGCTCTCTCTGCTGTTGTGTTGGTGTGTGTCGGGCTGTGAGCTGCAAAGCTACAGCCGGCTGTATGTGTACAGCAACCGTGTGTGAAAAGCGGTCAATAAAGAGATGCTGAAAAGCTTGTTCATGCAAACATCGTCGGGTCTGTCGTGATATGTTTACAATGAGACTTGTGGTCCTGAACCTCTGCGCACAGCGTCTGCAAAACGGGGCTTTCATCTTCACGCAGGACTGTAAGCTGTCATCTGTGAGGCGTGAGCGGTGTTTGTTTTTAACATAGTTCACGGTGGAGAACAGCTGCTGACATAATGTGGATCCGAAGATCCATAACTGGCCCACCTGGGGTTGAAAGTCTCGATAAATGCACAGCGTTTCGGCGGGTACACCGGCTTCCGCCAGTGTGATGCTTATTTTGAGCGATGAAAAATAATACGATATAATTTTATTTTTATATTTCAAAACCAAAGTAATCTCCCAATTTAGAACTACAAGTTAAAAAGAACTAAACACAAATAAAATACACTTCAGCTAAATATGCTGACATATTTGTGTGGGCTGAAATTTTACTTTCAACAAAAACACAGTAGCCTAATGGTCAGACAGGCCCACATCAGACACAGTAACCTTTGAAATGCTCAGGCCCTTGGAGATCAGTAGGTCAACAGTGTGTCCTCTATTATTATATTATTATACTATTAGTATTTCACTATTAATCACAGTGTTACTAAATAAAAGGATCTGGCTTGCATCAGTCACATGACTAACATTAACCAATGATCACCCTTGACGTCAGCGCACACTGGTTAACTGGGAACGCGCTCGCAAAGAGCATGCGCATTTCCATACTGCCTGATTGGTGTAGAGCTGTGAACTGGGAGACTGGTGCGACACAAACCAGTCAACACTGTAGCCTATAGCACACAGCAGTATCAGCTTATTATGGCCACGTTGTGTTGTGGACACTGACGAATTGACTCAAATGAGCGTGCTGTGTGTGCAACAGCGCGACAAACATTACCTGTTACCTTTTATTAGCTGCACAGGTGTCTGGGTCATTAGCTGCTAGCTAACTGGGTAAGCCTGTCATGTCTCAGGAACATATTTAGTTTTAAAGTAAGTTACAGGGCTTTCCCTGACTTTCGGGGGGGGGGGCTTATATTACACTAAAAACTATCTAATATCCTCATCAATATAATTATGAACTATTAAAAAAACACTATTTTTAAAGAAAATACATTACAATTTATATTAGATTTATATTTCAAATATGACAAAATGCTGATTTTACAGCAGCCACATGATCGCTACAGTTTAAACATTTAATCAGCTTTCTGCCTATGTTCAACTGTTTTATATTTAACACTTTATTTGTTTTATTCTTATGACTTTATTATTACAGCAGTAGGAATAAAGGGAAGGATTCTGGATCAGCACCATGATGCAAACTTGTGGCTAGAGTATATACAGTATACTGGATTGTGTGTGTGTGTGTGTATACCATGACCATCCCTACTAATATTCCAGTTTCAGTTTATTTCCCACAGTTTTCTAATCTTTATGTTTCAGAGCGCTGTCACCAACCTTTGCATGTTATTGTCTGACAGCTCGCGTCTCTCCTGTGGACTCGGCCTCAGATCAACACAGCCTGCCCTCCAACAGTGTACCAACCAGGTAAAACACACCTGATGACAGTGATACAGTGTGATCTGATTCATGTTAGAGTCTTGATGAATGTGTGTTGTTGTTCTTCAGCCTGGGTCGAGCACCCACCCCTCAAACATCTCTGCACGGCCCTGCTGAAAACTGATTTAATGAGGCCACACTCGGCAGGTTAACTATAAACAACAATCAATTCCTGACTGATGACTCGAGTTTTAAAATGTGTCACCTCTATAAAGGTGAAAAATAAATTTGACTGCAGTTACACCACGAGGAAGCTGCTGCAAACACACTGCATGAAACTGTTTCTTCATGTTTAGAGAATTCGAAAATGACTCCAGCCTGACCATGGCAAACTCAACAAATGGCCTCCAGGCTTACAGACCAATGACTGTAGAAAACATGGACGACGCGACAGCGCCCCAAAAATGAAGCCAAAACGTCTCTATCGCCCCCTGGTGTCTGGCTGCAGTATAGGTCATAAACCCCGCCTTCTCCATGTTAGCGGATGGGACTGGGGTCAGACTAAAATTAATTTATTCTCCTCAGATAATTTTTTTCAAAAGTTTCTTTCTTTTGTTTTCAATAGTTCTCATCACGCTGATTTATGTCCAAGAGGTCTCCTTTCCCATAAGTTTGATTCTAATTCCTACCGCCGTGATGTTAAATTGGGGTCAGCGTTTACTTTACGAAAACACGACCGAGTGTTTTTACCTGACAGCCTGAGGTGTTCTTCAGTAAACTGGACTACCCGACAGAAGGACCCGAGACCCCGCTGCACTTTTTCGGTAAGTTAAACATGTTTGTAAGCTAATCCGTAACTACTGTCCTTAGCTCGGTCCTCAGACCTAGCTAGCTAAGATGAGCACTCGGCTGTCAGGGTTCGTTTCAAGAGCATCTGGCTGCAGCCACTGGGGAGCGCCATATTGCGACCTCCACACTAACCGGAAACACGTAATTCAGTTAAATCGACTTTTACAGCTAAAATGAAATTGTGTATTTTTTACTATTCATGCTGCTGATAAATAAATTTGTTTCTAAGTGTTTTTTTTAACACTCTGGGTTTATTAAAAAAAAAAAATCCATCCCTTCAGCTTGTTTGTGGCAAAAGTGTCCATGTGTTATGTTTTTGTTTGTTTGCTACTTTTTCTGCATAAAGGTTTTTTCATAAATATAAACTAGTCATTACTTTTTACATTTTTAATCCTTCAAACACTTTTTTCTAGTACAATGCACGTGTTTGAAGACAACCTCAAAATTGTACAGTGGTCCCTCACTACACAGCAAATCCAGCATGTCCAAATTAACACTGTCGGATTTGATTTCAACACTATTAAAGTGTCTATATGGGTCCACACCAGAGAGTGTTAATTTAACTCTTTTTGGAGAGTTGGTACGTTAACTCTGATTTAGTGTTAAACACCAAATCTGTCTGGAGTTGATAATTTAACACTTGGTGTTAAGAGTTTATATATTAACTCTCAAAGAGTATTTTAGTTTAACTACGTAAGAGTTATCTTCTAATTCATTCTAAAAAGCGGGAATTTTACTGTTCTGAACTTCTAGAAATTTCTTTTGGAAATAAACATTTACTAAAAAGATGCAATGGTTTTTGAAAAACATTTATTCTGAACTGTGCACCACAATTTCAAAACATTTTCTGAAAGATGTAACAGTGTACATGTTCTCACTTTCATTAGAATTTTGTTTATCAAAAGGTCTGACATGGTAAATGCAAATAACAGCATTCTCATCACTTATTTCTTCAATACAATATGCATGTCCTTCATTCATCCCTTTGTGGAACTTCAACGCACTTCTGCTCTCCCCCATATTCCATCTTCACAAGCATATCCTGTGTGGAGATTGAATAAAAATTAGTTGACACTAATTAATGGCACAAATAATCCAGTAAACAATTGCAGCACAGTAAAAAAAAGGAATCCTCTTTGAGCCATTACTTGTGTAAAGTATTTTCCCAAAAGACAAGGACACAGGCAACAGGTAATACTACGGTGGCCCTGAGAGGCCAAACGGACTGCAACTTCAGAAAACACTTGCAAAAAGAAAAATGCTGCAAAAAGAAAAAATGCTGCAAAAAGAAAAACTGCAAAAAGAAAAATGCTGCAAAAAGAAAAACGCTGCAAAAAGAAAAAGGCTGCAAAAAGAAAAATGCTGCAAAAAGAAAAACGCTGCAAAAAGAAAAATGCTGCAAAAAGAAAAACGCTGCAAAAAGAAAAATGCTGCAAAAAGAAAAATGCTGCAAAAGCACACAAAGCACAACGGAAATAGGAAAAAAGACAACGGAAATGTTTCTGGGGAGACAATAACCGAACGGACCAGTTGCACGAACCAAAACATGTATGTATGGCTGTATCCCAATTCAGGGACTGTTTCCCAATTCAGGGTCTGCAGCCTTAAAGTACGCAGCCTTAACGGTCCTCAAGGGCCGCACTCAAAGACTGCTGAGGCCGGAAGTGCGAGGCTTGTAGGCTTGTGAAATGGGACGGTCTAGCCTCCGTCGCGCTGCCCAGGTTGCCTAGCA